GGCAAAGAGAATGGGTATTTTATATGGCAAAAATTTGGCACAACTGAAGACTAGAGCCGAGTTAATTGTATTCTTGTAATGTTTTTATATGCTTTTTTATCATTCTACTTTTTTTATTTTACTATATGCGATTTTTATATTTCAGTTTGTTTTTACGAATTGAATATGTTTAAAATTTTATGAAACTTAAAAAATTAGTGTTTTGTAGAATCTTGTATATTTATATATACTAATTTGAAATATATTTTTTTTATTTTTTTGAACCTTGAATGAGTATCACCATTAAACATACAAAAAACACAAAATCCTTAATGAGTCTCACAGATTAAAAAATTATTAAATTTAATAGTAAATTAATCTTATTGATACCCACATGGATACCACCAATAATGGTGCTCTAATGATCTTCAGTCACACCTCATCATGAAAACTTGTCAATTGCTTATAAAACTCATCAGGTTTAGAAACAAGCTCTGTATGACTTCTCTTTTCAACAACTCTTCCTTTGTGTAACAGAAAGATCGTGTCTGTTTTTCTTATGGTCGAAAGCCTATGAACCACCAACACTGTGGTTGGCCAACACAAATGAAGTTAACCAAAATTCATTAAGAAAATTTAAAGATGTAAAGATACATTAAAAATCTATGAATTGAATTAGTAACTCTTTGTTTTTCTACAAACCCTAATCGAAATTAATAATTTTAACTTGAGATCCAACGGCTGAAAAGCACTTTTAGGGAGAACAATGCCACAGATCTAACCGTTAAAGTAATATATCCAACGAGTGATAATAAAACCCGACCCTGAGCCAAATTAATAAACGCCTCTCTCTCCAGATCAAGCAGTCGAAACCATGTCCGCCGGTAATATACATCTCTTCCTCTGATTAATCGTAAATTGCTTAATCGATCGCTGACTTGGTCTCCACCGGAATTAAGTTGTATCACTTTCCCACTGGTAAATTCCTCTCTTTTACAAGTTTGTCTGAATCTTGATCTCTGCGCTCTATTTTCAGAAAATAAAGATGCCAGAGATAAGCAGATTTTAGTATATCTCTATTTCTGGGCGGTTGACAATCCTGAACCGAACCAGCAAATGTGATGCTAATCATGGGAGACATCTCTCAAGAAGATTCCCTCATCTCAATCGGAGAACTCTTAGCACAACCTCAAAACGCATCAGCTGTGCTACTAACCAGAATGGCTTTGGGCAAGCCTATCAGCTGGAGGACAAGATGTTGCACGACTCCAACAATAATCAGCCTAAGATTTTGATTACTCAGCTTGTTGTGAGAAAAAAAAAACACGTTTTTGTTTAAACCCATAACCAATGCCATTGTCAGTCTAAAGAGCTACTAACTATGATCTAAGGTTTAAAATAAAGGGTGTAAAGTTTTGAGACTTTACTTGTCCATCTTTCGTTCTTTTCTCGACAAAGTATTCCTACTTTTAACATTCAGTGGATTATGTTTCAAGGATGATTTCAGAGACTTTAATACATTCCAGGACCATATTAACCAAGAACAGACTACATTTAGTCTACAAAAGTGACAACGATAGAAGAAGCAGTAATTTCAAAGAGAGTGGTTGAGGTCATCTCAATAGTTAGCATATGGGTAGATTGCAATCAAACAAGTTGTGGGTATGAGGAAGAACTTGCCGACTACGTTCTGGTTGTAATGTTTTCTGCAAGTTAGTCAGCTTCCATTGTTTGGTAGTTAGATGTTAAAAGTTAGCTGATTTATCAAAGTAGAAGAGATTGTCTTACGTTAGAGCATGGGAAGATTGCGAAAAGAGCAAAAGCAGAGAGCAAGTAAGAGATTTCATTTCATCATTGGTTTTGGGATTTTAGCTTCTTTGTCTGATTTTGCTAACATTTGACAATGGAACAGAGCTGAGAAGAAGATCTCTGATGTTCTTGCTTGGGAAAACAGCAAGAACGCAGCTGTAGAAGCCTAACTCAAGAAGCACTAAAGAGATGAATTGTAAATACATAAAATCACAAAATTACTACAAATACTATTTATGAGATCAATAGCAAACAATTCTAGAATCAACAAACCCGGGATAACCTCTAGTAAAGTCATAATAAAAAAAACAAAAAGAAACCTCAATGATCTTCAGTCATACKTCTTCTTGAAGACTTGTCAATTGCTTATAAAACCCATCAGGCTTAGAAACAAGCTCTCTGTGACTTCCCTTTTCAARAACTCTTCCTTTGTGTAAAACAGCGATCGTGTKTGCTTTTCTTATGGTCGAGAGCCTATGAGCCACCAACACTGTGGTCCGTCCTGTCATCAGCTTGTCTAGCGCCTCTTGGACCAGTTTCTCTGAAGTCGTGTCCAAAGCACTTGTTGCCTCATCAAGGAGAAGCACGGAAGGATCCTTAAGAACCGCTCTCGCGATAGCCACTCTCTGTTTCTGACCACRTGATAACTGCACTCCCTTATCACCCACGTGTGTCTTGTACCCTTCTTCCATCCTACTTATGAACTRGTGTGCGTTCGCGGATTTCGCGGCTTCGATGATCTCTGCCTCCGACGCGTTTTCGTTCCCGTACTTGATGTTCTCGTGTATGGTGGTTGAAAACAGAGCTGGTTCTTGCTGAACTAATGCTAGCTTCTTGCGCAAGCTACGTAGGTTTAGGGTTATGATGTCTTGCCCATCGATGCAGAGCTTTCCGCTATCCGGATCGTAGAACCTCATAATCAGTCCGATCACCGTGCTCTTTCCCGAACCACTAGGTCCTACCACCGCAAGACTTTTCCCAGCTGAAACTCGGAGATTTAGGTTTTGGAATATGGCGATATCCGGTCTCGCGGGATACGTAAAGCTCACGTTTCTAAACTCTATATCTCCTTCGATATGAGTGACCAAACTAGAGTTTGGTTGGTCTGGAGGTATCTCAGTCTCTCTATGTAAAACCCTAAAAACCGARCCGAGTGCTTGCGTGCCCTTCACGATATCTGGTGTCAAAGCAAGCGTTTCCGATACTGAGAAAGCCGTGACGATCAATACCATGAAAGATTTGATACTATCCGCGAAATTCSTCTCCTTTTGCTTAATCAAAACAGAGACGTACCAGAGACCAAGAGCGTAAGAACAGAAAGCGAGAAACTGAGACAAACCGTATCCAAATCCAGAGATATGGCCTCTAAGAAATGCATTCTTGGTAGGTCTGCTTAGCTCRCGAGTAAACTGTTCSGTGATTTGCTTTTCCACACCAAACGCAGCGACAGTTCTTATATTRGCAAGCGCTTCACGCGCCACTGAAGTTGCTTTAGAGTAAGCTTTTGTGTAATCCCCTCCAAAGCCTTTTAGAAAGAGTTGCTGCAACATATCACATTTCAAGKTTTTTKAGTTTTAAAGAATAGTTTTGTTGATYGGAGCTTTGYTTTTGAGTTACCTCYGTAAGTGAAGCYGCAATGAGAAGAGGGAAACAAGCCGTTARGACAGCTGCAACACGCCAACTATAGAAAAAGGCAAGTGCTAATGCTGTGACTGTAAGAGACAGGTTTTGTACTATTGTCGAGAGGCGATCCGCGAGAGCACTCCTCACTAATGTTGCATCAGCAGCCAAGATTAAAGTGAGTGATCCAGTATTGTTTTCATCCAAATCAAACCATCCAATCTCATTCGAAAGAATCGCTGAAAATGTTTCAAAAGAA